CATGCGTTGGTACAGCATCGGCGTCGGTTGGAAGGTCGGCGAGAAGGTCTTGAACGACAGGCATATGGGTTGCTTAACCCTAAGGAAGATGCTTAACACTTGTTGAAATTTGTAGCAATTTACAAGTTTATGATCACCCGCTGAGGTATACAGAAATTTACAGGTTGAAGTAAAGGATAAGTATATTATTTAAACACTTGTTGAAATTTGTAGCAATTTACAAGTAGGTTAGACCGTGATCACTGTTCAATACTTGTTGAAACTTAAGAAGAAACTTGCAAAGTTTACATTAAGTAGTATATGTTTTATACTTGTTAAAATTTATGAAAAGTTTGCAGGTCAGTAACTTGCCGAAGTAAAAGTTTATAGTTATACCCGAGGTATATAACCCTGAGAAGATTACACAAAGGAAGCAAAATGAAAAAGCATGCAAAAATTTCTAAGTATAGAACTATGCAGAAGCAATCAACAGAACATCAGAAGATTAAAAACATTCATAGAAGGAATAGTTGCAGTTACATAGAGAAAAAGCTACGTCGGCCATAAGAAGGAGTTTTTCATTGTCCAGAAATTAAAAGAGAGTACAAATTGCAAAGTGCAGAAAAAGAAGAAAAAAGTACAAAAGACATTTTTTCAAGACTCTTCAGTGTTAGCCGCTGCAAGGACTGGGACCTCGGACGATTCTGGTGGAACCTCCTCGGCAACCTTTTCAGCTTCAATCTCAGCATCAATCTCAGCCAGCGTATTGTCTAGATTTCTTTCAGCCAAAAGAAGGTCGGATGATAGTTGCCCGATGGCAATTTCCTTGGGTGCCCCCCCCCCAACCTCATCACCCTCCTCATCCAAGGTTAAATCCATCACTTGCTCAACAGGAGGAGGGGACTTAGCTTCAGCAGCATCCTTGGGTTTTCTCACAAAGGCCTCATCATCATTTTTTCCTTCATCCTCATCTTCGGCATCAGCCTCAGTCTATGATTCAACCTGACTTGGAGGAGGAAATGGTAAAGGAATGGCATCGGCCTTACGAAAGGGCGAGTCAACAGGGAGATCAAGTTTTTTTATCAGGGACATCCAACCAAGGGAAAATCCCCTGTTGCATGCCTGCCTGACTTGAAGTTTATAATCCTCTGTGACGTCGGCCATACCCTGGGCGTAGGCCTTTTCATCAGCTTCTTTGACTTCGGTCTCCTTGGTGGCCAAAGCCTGCTGGAGCTCCTTCTCAGCCTGGGCCTTTTTCACTTCGGCCTCCTTCTTCTCAGCTTCAACTACTTTTTGGATAGCCTCAGCAGACTCCGCTTTCTCCTCGGCCATCTGCTGGGCCTTAGTAGCCGCCTCGGCCTGATCTTCCAATTTTTTCATCCTTGATTCAAGAGATTTGATCTCTTTCTTCATGGAAGATCCTTCCCTCTTCATATCAACCAATCTTTGCCGATTTTCAAAAGATTGCATTGAAAATGAATGGGCGTGCTGAATGGCCTAAAGAAAAACAGAAGTATTAGAAAATATTCTCAGTAAAAAACAAAAGGGAAAATCACAAGTGCAAACAGAAACACTTACTTGAACGGAGTGTTGGAGCATAAGGGCGTAATTCTCATACTCACTTAGCTCAGCATTTCGTTCCAAATCATTCGGAAGGAGAAGAGCAGTGCTGAGGGCGACACCAACGTTGATATTGTCGGCACTTTCACTGGCCATGATAGGCCTATCCTCCAGAGTTAGTTGAGGGGCCCATGGAACATCGGGCTTCTTTGACGCCGAGGTCGTCGCAGACGATGACCTTGACCTCTTTGATTGTGTGGACCCCGAGGGTTGGGTCTCAGCGGATCTTTTTGTGGAAGAAGAGGTAGCCTTTTTGCTCTCAGCCAGTTGAGAGATAGGCAAAGCATCCTCAGCCTCGGCGTCAGTGGCCTTGGCTTTGGGCTGAGCCTTTTTTTACTCTCTTCGGCTTTGGTGGGGGCATCGCATGCGATGGTACAGCATCAGCGTCGGTTGGAAGGTCGGCAAGAAGATCTTGAACGACAGGCCTTGGACGAACCATCTCGGCAGTCTTTACAAGTCTTCGTCGACGTTTACGTTCTGGAATTGGTATTAAGTAGGGGGCCGAAGTGGATGGAAGATCGGCTGGGTCAGAGGTGGATCCTTGATCTGTTCGGGATGAAGACGCGGTTACAGTTGTAGCAGTAGGTGGAGAGAGACTCTTTTTCTTCCTTTTTGGGATGTCAGGCAAAGTGGATTTATATGTAGGGATGAAGTTTAGTAACAGTGGGGCTTTTCGTTTATGAACTGGAAGGTCAAGGAGTTTTTTCAGATCTGTTCCTGGGAAGAAGGATTGACGGAAGTTTTTCGGTGGCTGATGAAGATCTGCAGGACAAAGAAACAGACGTCAGAAACAGAAAGTATTAAAGACTTAAATAAAAACAACTAAGTGTTGGCTCAGGGCTCTTACCCTTGCCCTCTTTTACTGTTCGAGGAAGAGGGTAGAGGTGGACATCTTCATCTGGGCCAAATTCCCAATTTCCCGAAGCGATAACAAAGTCATCCCCAGCCCCCTTGTTGGAGTCTGGGAGGTCGGCTACAATTTTGAACTCAGTAGACCTCGGCTTAAGGTAATAAACAAAGCCCCTATCTTTCAGGTTAAGGGGGCACATTGTATAACAGTACTGAAAGTCGGCCCGGGTGATCCTAAGATTCTCCTGCCTAGCTAAAGCTATAATACCGTTAATCACCCTATAGGAGTTGATAGTAAGTTGCATGGGGTTCAGCCTGTAGAAATAAAGAACTTCACGAAACAAGGGATCAAGTGGAAGCCGAAGTCCACATTCAGTAAAGGCAACTATAGGAAAGGGCATCGTATGGTCTGTGGGCAATGGGAAAAATGGGTACATCAATCCCCAGCTAGCTTAAGGTGAAAACATCGGCTGGGATAGAGAATTCCTGCCTAAAGCATATCAAGTTTTGTTGGGGTATTTACCCTATGCTCCACATACCCATTACGTCGGCTAAACAAAAAGGAGTGTGTTTCAGAAGATGGGCGTTTTAGAAGGATTGCAAAACCTCGCCAAAGGCCTAGGAAAGGACTGATAAGGCTTGTTTCGGTTTTTCTAAAAATTTGAAGGTTCCTATGCCAAATCCCAAGCCTAAGAACTATAAAGATCAAGATCGAAGGCACAGATCTGGGACAGATACAAAAAAGAGAAAACAAAGACGAAGTTTCAGATTCAAGAACAAAGATGGACTATCAGAAACACGAAGAATACAAAGGGATAAAGGTCAAGAATTATGGCAAGAAAAATGTTGAAACAGTGCAAATGTTCAAAATATGAGAGAAATCGAGCAACAAAGCAGTAATGGTAAAAACACTAAAAAAATTGGGAGTAAAGGAAACAGGGCCTTACCAGAACAAATGAAGTCGGAAAGAACGACGCCGAGAAATGGTGACGATTGCAGGCACGACGAAACGGAGGAAACTTCGCTAAGGTGAAGGGACAAAAAATCGCAGAACTTCGAGTTAGAACAATGGCAGATTCGAAAGAGCTTTTGCAGAGAGAAAGAGCAAGAAATCAGAATGAAAAAGTGAAGAAAGAAAGAGGCAAGGAAAAGCTTTGTCAAAAACGTGAAACGGCAGCAAAAATAGGGCATTTATTACGCCTAGAGCAACGCACGCGTCAGACGGCGCAGATAAATGATAGACAGCTTTCAGGCGCGTCACAGACACGCTCCAATGAAGACAATACACGTGAAAAGAACGGTTAGATATGCATGACAACTCATGCGCGTGGGAGAGTACGTTCAAAACCTTGTTCTCCGAAGAGAATACATCGGCTGGAAGTGGATTATCTTGGCTAGACAGTTCTTTGAGCCATTACTCAGAAAAGAAACGTCGAAATATCGATATAGGTTCCATCACCTCAGAATGCCGAGGTGTAATAGAACCTATGGGGCAGTTATGGTGATATATTTTCTGAATACCAACACGTGGCATGGTGACGCCGACGTGTCAGCCGAGGTGCCACGTGTCCTGGTCGTGATGCCGAGATGATCTCGGCATGGCCGAGGTTAACTCCGAAGATATCAGAATCCGAGATAAGCGAATAAGGGACAAGAGTCCTAAGACGAAGAGGGGACTTAACCAAGATAAGGATAAAGCTCTTAGGGAGTTTATCTTTATCTCTTAAAGAGTCCAAAGTAAGCACTAAATTGGAGTTCATAGAAGTCATACTTCTAGTAGGACTTGGATTGAATATATTATAAAAGAGAGGCACCCCCGTGGGTCTAAGGTATGCAATTTATGTTTTGAGTATTAAGTTTTGCACTTGATTATCTTTGAGAGATATACTGACTTGATCGTCGAAATGCCCCCGGGTGGAAGAACTACCGCCGGAGCCTTTTCTTTCTGTTTCAGGTTGCTGAAGCCATCTATTCTGCCTGTGCTCTCCAGTTGATCACTAAGCAGGCAGTGTGGTCAGATTTTCACCCCCACACTTCATATGAGAGACATTTCATGTGTGTGCACATTGTCAAGGAGGCAGCTTTGCTTCTCTATGCCTTGCTTGAATATATCTTTGTAATCATCCTTGAATTTAAAGACAATCTGGGGTGTAAAACCAATCAAGGAACAAGAATTAGACAGTTTTACCTGATTTGTCGAGCGATGCTTGCATCTTTTACAGCGACTTCAACTACGACATGGATTATCGTATAGTGACATGGATATATAACGCAACGATGTGTCGTGTTCAAGAGCTTGATCTTGACATTGCCTTGAAAAATATATTTTGCTTGCCTCTTTGTGGCTTGAGCTGCTCATCGTTGTGGGTTCTAAAACCGAACTTGATTTGTGGTAATCTCAAGTTGCCTAATATAGAGTTCAACTCGCTGCAAGAGTTATCGTTGATCACGTTCAGAGTTGTTAATCCATTGATCGGAGAGTGGATTTCATCGTATTGTAAGGCCTTTACAAATTTAAGCCTCAGGGTGTTTTATGGGACGAGCAATCTCAATATTACAAGCTCTTCTCTTCTAGATATGAAAATTACTTTCCATGATGAGGTTTGTGATGACAAAATTTCTGCTGCAAAACTGCGGACTTTGTTTGTAGGACGACAAATGGGGCATGGAGGAGGTTTTCGGACTGGCAAATCATTGATAATTTTTGCACCCAATCTTCAAGAGTTTAAGTATGTAGGAGACCTTGTATATATCTCTTGTAAAGGGGAATTCAAGTCTCTGGAAATTGCCGGTGTTATTGTCTCAGATTATCCTCTTGTAAAGGCCATGATTGACAGCTTTATAAAGTTCTTTTGCTGCCTAAGCAAAGCAAGAAAAATGGAATTAAGTGACAGGTTTATTAAGGTATTCAATGGCATGCTTCTTTCATAATTTTTTAATTGCTTTTTTAATATGTTGTTCTTGTACCTACCTTTGCTTCTTTCTTTCTTCTCTTATTTTATCTAGTTTATAATTGAACTTCTTTCAGAGTCGGATGGTCTTATTTGGAAATTTTTTAGCTACATGTGATTGTTTTTAATAATTACTACTTTGATCTTCTAAGCCTATGCGCACAAATCATTCAAGACTGATAATCATAAACACATCATTTTATTATATTTGTCATATGTTATCAAAATCATACATGTACATTTTTTTGATAATATCAATTTCAATGGCTAGGATATCCAATTTCATCTAATTTTTTTCATTATTGATTTACAGTTCGACCCATATTTGACATGAAGAAAAGTCCAGTCTTTTTGTATATTACTTTTTTTTTTTTTTGACCAGCTAAAAGAAACAACTTTATTGACGGCATTGTTATATACAAAGTATGGAAATATATTAATAAAGGGGGAGGAAGTGCATAAAGCATCAGAGTATAACTATATGATCCTAACTAGGTTGGCACCAAGGAGAATATCCTATAATTTATTAGCACTTTTTTTTTTTTTTTATCAGCAAAAAAAACACTTTATTGATGAGAAAACATACATTACATATGAAAAAAAAAACATCAATAAAGAAAGGAGGTGCAAAAAGCATCAAAGTATGCCCCCCAATCCCAACTAGGTTGGCACCAAGGAGGATACCCAATCATTTGCTAGCACCACCGAAAGTTGGTGAGAAACCAACAAGAAAAGAGAGAAAAAACAACATAAGCCCCAAGGCCATCAGATGATACACTAGCAGCAACAAGGAAAGAAAATTCCCAAACAATTCAACCCAGTAGCACCAAGCAGCTGCAGTTCTAACTCAAGAGCCACTCCTAATGCAAATTCTAACTTGCTTAATGGGTTCACATAGTTCATCAAGATCCACCTGAGCATCACTGAACATATGAATTTGAGAAAAGACAAAAGTGTTGTTGAAGAACATATGGATCTAACAATTGAGACCTCAGAAACGCTTCAGCTTGCAACTTGAATAATTTCCACCAATGCAGAGCAACAGACCCAATTCATCACAGAGCTGAGCAGACCAACCAGAGCAGAACTTAGCAGACCAACTGAATACCAACTCTATGTAGCCACAAACCCAACTTAATTCTCTAGGAGACCTTCCACAAGACTAATCCCCAAGACTATGCTTCCACAAACTCAAACACCATTCCAGAGGTGCAAGATCAGCAAACAATTAAACAAGCTGACATGTCTATAGCCAACTAGCAGCATACATCAGCAGATCATCATAATTCCTTGTGCTCATTATGAAGTAGATAACATCAGCATACATCAGACCAACTAACATTATCAGACCAGTTAACATCAGCAAATAACAGACCAGTGAAGCAGATAACAGACCAGTTTCCACCATCTCAACATAACAGAGCCACCATACCAGATCAGAGCAGATCAGTGAAGAACAAAAGCAGACTGACCAAAACAACAAAGCCACCATCTCAAACACCCAGACTCAACCACCATATCAATCCGAACAAAATGGACCAACCTCACAAACCACTAAAGCAGACCAAAATGAACAAAACCGAACCAAATGGACAGACAAAGAACAAAAACAACCCAAAAAAGACTAACACAGAGCACACCAACATAATCAATACAACAGCCACCATGCTCACTCCATCCACAGCCTCCCTTATGAAGAATTCAGGTAATTAAACCAACTAATATAAGCTTATCTCAGCTCCATTCCTAATGCAATATTGAACCTGCTGCAAATTAAATACTATATCAGTAATAGAGAACTCTAAATTAGTTGGAGATGATTTGGCCCACAAAGCTATTCTTGCTTTGACAACCTCACATAGTTCCTCAAAGTTTGGTTGAGAACCATTAAAAACACAATCATTTCGATGTTTCCATGTGGACCACAAGACAGCCAAAGGCGTAATCTTCCATAACAGCTTTTCACTCCTCTTCATTTTGCAAAATGACCACCATTGTAGCAGCCCTTCCACTGTGTTTGACATAGCCCACTGAGAACCCCACCATTTCAGAATATGAGACCACAACAGCCAGACAAATGGACAAAATAGCAATATATGGTTGACAGATTCCACCTTGTTTTGACAAAAAAAACATAGCCCACAGTGGCAGATGCATCTAAAATCCCAATTCTCTGCAGGAAACTAGAGGTTTTTACCTTGCCTTGCCAAGCCAACCACCCAAAAAATTTTACTTTAGGAGGAGCACAGATGTTCCAAACTACTACTGCCATTTTCCTAATAGGGCCCAAGGACAATTCATAACTTTTGTACACGGATGCAACCGAGAACACCCCAGATGGATCAGCCTTCCACTTCCAAACATCGGGTTTGGTGGCCCTCATTTCTAGCGCATTCATAAAGAAGGAATGAAGTCTACAAACCTCCTCCTCTTCCCAGGCCAATAGGGGCCTCCTGAATTCCAGATTCCATATCTGAATCCCCTCTCTCCTGTTATAAAAATCAAACACTACTCCTACTTTATCAGTGGACAGAGCAAAAAGTCTAGGAAATTTCTCCTTAAGACACAACTCCCCAGCCCATTTATCCAGCCAGAAATGGGCTCTCCTACCATTTCCTAACTCAATTGCAGAGTTTGAAATGTACAGATTGTGTAACACGAGTGAGGCTAGAATTGAAGTAATGATATCGGACCAAATTTTTGATCCTCTGTTGTTTCCTTCCAGACAAGGCAGCCACCTTCCACCCCCCATATTATACTTAGAGCATATAACATCCTTTCACAGAGTATGATGCTCTGACCCAAATCTCCACCACCATTTCATCAGTAAACACTTATTCATAACTGTGATTCTTTTGATCCCCAAACCTCCCAAATGCTTACTCTTGGTAATGATATCTCATCGCACCATGTGAACTTTTCTTCTAAGATCGGATCCCCCCCAAAGAAAGTTTGCTTGAATCTTGTCAATTGCTTTTGCCACCCCCACTGGTATCTTGAACAATGACAGGTAATAAATAGGCAAGTTGCTCATAACCGACTTAATTAGAGTCAGCCTCCCAGCAAACGACAACAACCTTCTCCTCTAGGTGGGTAACTTCTGTTTAAACTTATCCAAGACTGGCTTCCAAGTACTTGACTTACCAGGATTATCTCCTAGAGGTAAACCTAGATACTTAAATGGTAACCTCTGATGGGCGCAATTTAGTCTAGAGGCAAAACTTTGCAGCATTACTTCCTCCACTCCAATACCCGCAATCATACTCTTATGATAATTTATTTTCAGCCCCGAGAGGATTTCAAAACACCTAAGAATTCGTTTGATGGTCACCACTTCCACCCACTCAACTTCACAAAACAGTATTGTATCATCTGCAAATTGCAGATGCGTTATTGTGACCCCATTGTTTCTAATGGCAACCCCTTTGATCAAACCCATTCCTTGGCCCTATCAAATAATATATTCAATTCTTCGGCCACAATATTGAAAAGAAAAGGGGACAGTGGATCACCTTGTCGTAGACCTCTCTCTGGGAAAAACTCGTCAGTAGGAGAACCATTCACTAAAACTAATACTTTTGTGGAGGTTACACAGCTTTTTATCCATCTCACCCATCTATCCCCAAATCCAAAATTAGATAACATATTGAATAAGAATTCCCAATTGACTGAATCATATGCCTTCTCAAAATCTAATTTCAACACCAAACCTTTCTTCTTTAATTTTCTCCACCCATTAACTATCTTGTTTACAATGAGGATCCCATCTAGGATATTCCTTCCCCCAAGAAATGCGGATTGTGTCTCGCTAATAATTCTTGGCATCACTTGTTTCATCCTATTTGCTGAGACTTTAGCCAGGATTTTATACAAGGAACCAATGAGACTTATAGGCCTATACTCTCTCAAGCTTGATGGGCTATCTATTTTTGGAATTAGGTCCATAAAAGAGCTATTTAACCCACTAACCAATGAGGCATTTTGATGGAACTCTCTTAAGAATTGCATTACCTCAGGTTTGACTATTTTCCAGCATTTCTTAAAAAAGGCTAAATTAAAACCATCCGGCCCAGGTGCTTTATTGCCATCACTGCTCCTGATAACATTTCTAACTTCCTCCTCCGTAATGTCTACTTCCATCAAATCTGCTGTTTGACGACCTCTAATATTTTTGAACTGGCTAGTCAGTTTAGGCCTAATCACCCAAGATTCAGAAAATTGATTCATGAAATGAGACTTCACCTCCTGCCTAACCTCTAAAGGTTCTTCCACCATTGAGCCATTCACCATAATTGAACACAAGGAATTCCTGTTGTTTCTCTTAGACGGCATAATGTGAAATTACCTCGTATTTCTATCTCCTTTGGAGGCCCAATTAAGTCTAGATTTTTGGAGCCAAGTCCATTCCAACATTTTGTTTAACCTCCAAATCTCATTCATTACTTCCTTTCTTCTAGCTTGTTCAACCCCCAGAAGTGACCTTTCTTCAGCAATTAGCTCTATGGCATGGGCTTCCTCCTCAGCAGCTTTAAGCTTAGACTCTAGCTTCCCAAACTCTTCAATGTTCCACACCTTTAATTTGTCTTAGACGGCATAATGTGAAATTACCTCGTATTTCTATCTCCTTTGGAGGCCCAATTAAGTCTAGATTTTTGGAGCCAAGTCCATTCCAACATTTTGTTTAACCTCCAAATCTCATTCATTAATTCCTTTCTTCTAGCTTGTTCAACCCCCAAAAGTGACCTTTCTTCAGCAATTAGCTCTATGGCATGGGCTTCCTCCTCAGCAGCTTTAAGCTTAGACTCTAGCTTCCCAAACTCTTCAATGTTCCACACCTTTAATTTGTATTTCAAAGCTTTGAACTTCATAAGGCATCTGTAACCAGCCCAAACTTCCACCTGGAAATCTAACCAAAATTTCTCTACTAAATCTACAATTAGGATGAAGAACCCAAGCATTCAGAAATCGAAAAGGTCTAGGGCCCCAATCTCTTTCATCCTCTATCAGAATTATAGGACAATGGTCAGATATCAATCTAGGAAGTCCCCATAACTTGAGATTGAAATTTTGTATCCACTCATAATTGAGTAAAAATCTGTCTATTCTGCTCCATTTCTCTCTTGTTTGTGAGTTACACCAAGTAAATTTCCTCTCAAGCATAGGCATATCAATCAACTCCAGTTGTTCAACTAAGTCATTAAGATCCCTCATTCCTCTATCCCTTCTAGAGCACCCAATAAGCTCAATAATATTCCTTATTTCGTTGAAATCCCCCCCTCCCCCATGCACCATGGCCCCAAGAACAAACTCTTCAACCAAGCTAGAATGACCCATAATTCTTTCCTTTTAACTACCTCTGATGGACCATATACATTGACAATCACACAATTAAAAGAGGAAAATAATTTACCTGACAGTAGTATAAAATGTCGATTTCTACAGCAAGCATCCAATTGAAACACCCCTGCATTCCACCTCATCACCAGCTCTTCCTTCCGCATCCATTGCCAGATACTCAAAATTATCTTCATACCAAAGAGACTTTATAATTTCGGGCGTAATTGATGATCTCTTTGTTTCTTGAAGCATCACAAAATTGACTTTCCTTGCTGCCAAACTCTGTTATATTTTTCTCCTTTTCTCTGGCCTGCCAATACCTCTAACATTCCAAGATTGTATCTTCATAACAAAAGTTGTTTCACTCAAAAACTCCCTAAGCTTAGTGTTCACTGCATATCACCTCTCCTTCTGACCTCTTTTCCTTTGTCTGTAGCTTCAAATTCCTCTAACTTGCTAATCACCTCCTCCTCCTTGCCATCACAATCTACCCCCAGCACTTTACCAATTTGGATGGCTGCTTCTGCCTCTGATAAACGTAAGCCATCTCTACTAGATTTACTTGCCATAGATAGTGAAATAGCAGCTACGGCAGACCTGAAAATTGCCCCTTTCCTTAAATTGAGTGCTTTCTTCAAAGATTTCTTCCCCATTTCAGACTTCCCCTTCTTCCTCAATTTGTGGCATCAGTTTTCCTCTCCTTTCTCCTGCAAACACTGCTTATTAATAAGAGTTGTGCCCAGCTGACTTGTCATAGAATTGGGCTGCCCAACCCCAATATCAAAGACTCAAATATGGTAATTGTTGGACTCAGCCCGAAAATCTAATTTTGTAACCCTTTGGGCCGACTCATCCTTATTTGTATCCACTTGGGCCTTGTTTAAGTACACTTCCAAGCTAATGCCTTGTTTCTGCCCTACAGACGCACTCATGCTTTTTATAAACCCAGAGGTGACCCCCTCATCATCAGCTCTACGACTATCTCTCTTGCCTACGCCACCCTTCTGTGACGCCCCTGTGCAGAGCCTCCTTACAGCGGCCACCCCACATGCGGTGCCTTCCTCTGACACGCCCATCATCATGTCTGTCTCCTCTACCTCTGAAACCTCCCTCAAGCTTGCTTCCCCCTCTATGTCATTTGAATTGACATGAGCCACCTCCCTCTCCCCTGCAGCCACCTCACCCCTATTATCCACCTCTTCACCAACATGGTCTGCCACCTCATCATCTTCTTCCCCTTGTCTGCTGCCTCTATCTGTAATATTCTCAACTTCTTCATCGGAGCTGAAGCTGTCTTCATTATTTCTCAAAAACGATTGGCAAATACAATGCTCCTGCACAATTGTTGAGATTATGATTTGTTCCTCTGAGATCCTGACTGGGCATTGAGAGGGAGATTTATGATTTGGATTGGGCCATGGTAAGGGCCGGACAAATTGTAAGCCAAACACATTTGGGCCGTGGCAGTCTTGGCCCATCCAGAAAGGATTTTCGCTCGGTAATGGCACAGTTGCTGTGAAACCAAGCTACTTGCTCGGTAATGGCATAGTTGCATAATTGATGTCGTACTAGCGGTCAAGTGAGGTTCGGTCGAGATGTCCGCTGCCTCTCTGGGTTCCACAGTTCATGCGTTAGCTTGGCAAGAAGGCCGACGGCTAACCAGCATGACTTGACCCGAGCTCGGCTAAGCTAAAATGCAACCGAGCTCGGTCGTCATTGAGCTTGGTGAGCGGAGCGCTCTAGCTAGCTGCGCAGCACGACCATTGACAGCCGAGATGCTACAGCCCAGCTGCCGAACTCCCAGTGGTGTGGGCTGGCAGTTAGGTGATGTTCAGCTAGATTTGTGCTGACAGGTGAGATAGCAGCACCACATGTCGAGAGACTAATGAGAGTAGATTTGGGGCGCAAAAGGTATATAAGCGAGTCTGCGCCCCCCACGCTGAGGCAGATGAACATTTGGTGAGATTTACATTAAACACTCAATCCTCTCTCTCTCTCTATCCCTGTGTGTGTCTAAATTGATCGTCGGAGGGGTATTCCGGCCACACACCGCCAGGTAGCTCACCGCCGTTGTGCTCGCAAGTTGATCGGACAGGCAGGAGCTTGGAAGAAAGGAGTATGGGCTTGCCGGAATATTTGCTCCCCGTACAATTGGCGCCGTCTATGAGAACTTGACAAACAAAACCTTGTCTTCCAGGCTCGACTGATCGCCGTCCATGGCGAACAACGACGAGATATCGACGGAGTTACCCCGGAGTCAGGCAGACGGAGAGAAGGACATCCCGCCATCCTTCCTATGGAGGACCTGGAGACTTTTCCAGGAGGACATTTAAGAGACGCGCGGAAGAAGCTTTGGTCATTCACAGAGTTCGAACGGTCACCGGCGGCGGAGAGAATCGCATGTCATACGACTAGAAAACAAGCTAAGGGACCAAGATGCCTTCATCCGGCGAATGGCAGCGGAGATGGAGGATCTTAAGCGACATGTCAAAGGAAAGGGTGTAGCTGGAGTGGGAGACCACAGTGAGCGCACCCAACCCCGCCGTTCAGGCAGTCAGAGCTAGCGGCGTACTCCGTCCATCTCAATCACCAGAAGTTACAAGGTTGGAGATTCCGATGCGCACATAGAGAAGTCCAGCATGCAAGACAGCACCTATCAACCCTTACGTTCGGTGACAACGTCGAGGTATACTTATTCCGCTCGTTCAGGGGATTTGCGGGCAGTCTTGAAGGAATGGGCTCGCCGGCGAGAGGCTCAGAGGGTGCCGATGTTCCAGCGGCTATCCTATGGGGTTCACGCCAGTGAAGAGGTCGGAATGCCTCCACCCCGCCTCGCTGCGCCTCTCCTTTTAGACACAGACTTGGCGAGGCTGAGCGCCACTCATTTCTCCTTGGAGATAGAAATAACACCGCTTCCGACGGGCT